CTTCTATCAAAGATTGCCGGAATGCCCGTAGCGCGGCAAAACCTTCTCTTCTCCTTCCTGGAAAACGAACCGGCTGTCGAGCCAAGGGGTAAAGGTCCTGTCACACTGAGGGGACAGTTGGACAACTCTATCCGGCAACACGGGGAAGTCGTGTTGCCGGCAACCCTGTCACATCGCGGCAACAACAACAGTCGGGCAACATGCTGCTGCCGCCCGGCAACAGTGTTGCCCGATTTGTTGTTCGACAACCCTGTCACACCGCGCTGACGGCGAGGACAACACGGGGAACACTCCGTCATCTTGATTGCTTACCTTCGTTCGTGTGCGGCGCGGAATCGCTGGAAATGTGACTCTACAAAGTGCGAGCGCGTTCGAAGGGCCGGGAATTGCCACGGTACGACATCAACCAGTGGCTGTAATTAGAAAACTTGACACGGGGAGTATTTTCCGCTTTTTATTTTATCGAGATGTTCTTCATTCGCTGACAAAGCAGATAGCCCTAACCGAGGAAAGTGACATCGCTGATATATGTTCGGCATTTACGCCACCGTATAAAGTGTTTCTGTCCAGTTTTTTCATGCAATTCCTATTTCTACTGTGAAATTGCGTTAGCACCGGCAGTACCCCAAACCGTCTTTTGTAACGTGGTGTTGAGCTGAACTGACAGTGCTTCAAAACTGCGACACCGACACCATCGGACTTCATAACAATCGGTGGAATAAATATTTTCAACGCTGTCTACTTGTCTACCGCCTGCTATGTGATCGATTCATTGCCCCAAAACGTCCTGGGTATTTTTGAAACAAACCAGGGCTATGTTCCAAATTTTACTCGAGTAATCTGCCTCCTACGTCAGCGGGTAATACCACGTGACATCGCGAGTAAACGATCCGCAACTCGATTTTTGAACAGCCAGGATAATCACCTGGATACTACGCGGATTGGCTTCGTCTTGGGCAACGGCAAAAAGAAAACACAGCAGCGATGGCAGAAAATAGCAGACGATCCTTTTGATCATGGAGAAAGCACCCGAAGAACGGTAATGTTAATGACGACGCGGTGTTTTTTGAGGTGGATCCACCAGCTCCTTTTACTGACCTTCATTTTGAGTTGTATGATCAAAATTACTTACTCCTTACAGCTAGACATAAAAAAAATGTGTTTTTATTAATCAACGCGATCGCTGCAATTCTAGTCACGGTGCCCTAAACGCATATATTCCACGCATTGTAATTTGCACCGATTATGTTTTGCAGGAATATATTCCACACGGTGTAGCGGTACAGCGCGAGGGTGCTTTCTCCAGAATGATATGAAACTCACGTTCGCTTTGACGCGAATGTGATTACAGTAAAATTTTCGAAGCCTTCACTGCTTTACAAACGTTATCCTCTCATTACGCACACTCTGAAGGAAACAAAAATACTACGTTATCATATACCGAGTTCAAACATTTTCGGCCTTGAACGTGAGAATACGGCATTCCCCCAACGCCGAGGACGAGGATGCGGAGAAGCTCCTGTTTACGGTCGCACCCAGATAATAACAAGTACACGTTCCCGGGGAAGGTGGACGGTCTGGATGTAATGCAGTCAATTCCTGCATTGACAACACCAAATCGCAATAACCACACATGCTGCACCTAATTCTTTGTCATTTCGAACGTCCGCCACCAAAACCAACGGAGCAAGCGAGCTTTGACGGCTGTCGGCGCAGAAAGCAGACGACGAACAGATCACGTGACGTATTTACTCGATTTGATCCGACTTTACCCTCCGATCGAGGACGGTAGCGCGAGTAATTACTCCGGAGTAAACAACCCGCTTCTGGAACGCGAGTTCCGACGTCATCGAGTAAGCTCGAGTAAGTTTTGGAACGCCACGGTACGAAACGTTTACTTCGGAGTCGGATCGAGTAAATTTTGGAACACAGCCCAGGTGTCTGGTAGAAGCTGGTTCCAAGTTCCAAGCATCAAAGTTTTCGCAATCGCGGCGCTAACACGTGTTCGACGCACGAGCGGCAGGAATGGCTCAGGAGCGTCTAGTAAAGATTGCCGGAATGCCCGTTGCGTGGCAAATACCTTCTCTTCTCCTTCCTGGAAAACGAACCGGCTGTCGAGCCAAGGGGTAAGCAAGCGGCCATTACCATTTCTTCTGAGGCGAGATCAGGCGAGATGCCCGCGAGAAAGGAAGTCACGTGTGTGTGCCGAGGGCTGACCCGGCTGGCTTCCGGTTGAATCCGCCAAAATCGGGGGAGCGACTTTTCTCGGATCCAGATCGAGATCTGGAGCGGGAGCTAATCCAAAACGACCAGTGAAACACGTTCGCCTCGATCCCGATCGCCCCCAGTGAAATAGGCTCGCCCCGGAAAAGTCGATCCCGGCGCGCTCCAAAACGACCCATGGAATTCGCCACGAGAAAAGTCGCTCCCACAATTTCGGCAGATTTAACCGGAAGCCAGCCGGGCCAGCCCTCGGCGCACACACGTGACTTCTTTTCTCGTGGGGCATCTCGCCTCAGAAGAAGAAGAAGCACGTCGCGGGCTGGGCTCCTAGATTGTCTCGACATCACAAGAATTCGTAGTGGCCTCTTGCTTACCCATTGGCTCGACAGCCGGTTCGTTTTCCAGGAAGGAGAAGAGAAGGTATTTGCCGCGCTACGGGCATTCCGGCAATCTTTGCTAGAAGCGCCTGAGCCATTCCTGCCACTCGTGCGTCGAACACGTGTTAGCGCCGCGTAGCGAAAACGTCTTCGAAACGACCGCGGCGGCCGCGAAAAGGGGATTCCCGGGCAGTTGAATGACGGGAAAGCATCCGCCGATCCCGGAGCAGTGGTCATGTTCCACTGGGGATCCGTAGCGGCGCGACCCCGTTCGGATCTTGTGCTCCAATCCGGATCTGGTCGACTGATCCCGGCGCGCTCCAAAACGCCCAGTGGAATTCGCCATGAGATGTGAAGCGACCGATAGGATTCAGAGAAGCCAAACCAGCGCTGTGACATAGCCTCCTATATAACTGACCACGGCCGCTCGATCGCAGCGACGGAGCGGAGAGCGACGGAGCGATCGAGGGGCCGTGTACTAACAAAGCCTCACAGATCGCCACGAGAACTGGCCGCCAAATTGGAAAAGTTGGAGCGGCAGACAGCGGATGAGAGGAGAGCCACGTGACCGGCGCTTCGCTGCGGCGAGACGCCGAAACACACTTCAAGCGAACAAGTGTGTTTCGGCTCCTCGCCCCTGCAAACACTGTGCGCTGACGTCCAGGTTCCCCTAGAGTTCCTGTATATGCTCCCTACGGGAGCCAAAGTTGCGCGTTCACCCCCGGAGCGCCGGTTTTCCTGCACGACATGCGGAGTCTGCTCCTCACGTGACTGTATTCGGCGAATAGCGGCGCCGCGCGTTCGAGGCGCGCGCCGCGCTCAAAAGCAGGGGTACGTACGCCGGGGCACGTCTCCTTTCCTGCACGACACTTGATCCGGCTTCTCACGTCGTCGGATCTCGGCGAATAGCGGCACGGCGGCACGTGGAGAACAGACGCGCAGCTCGGGCTCCCGTAAGGAGCCTATACAGGAACTCTAGGTTTCCCTAAAGCCCCTTCATGTTTAAAGGCAGCGCAAGGTGCGTCGATGCAAGATCGTGCTACGAGCAGCTCTTGGGAAGATCATGGCGGTACAGCGCAGCACTGAACTAGATTTCAGACGCCATGTTCTTCCCAGAAGTGGCGCGCGGCACGTGTCTCCAGCATTTACACAACAATGAACGGCGCCACTTTTATCAGGATAGAGGGGCTTTCTGTTTCCCGACAAGGGACACTTTGATGCTTCCGTGCTACCAGATCCTCGCGCTCCAAATCTGCCACCATGGACACTCTATGGCTCCGTCGTCGAACTGCCAGGCTTTGTGAGTAGTGGAGGCTATGGCTGTGAGCTAAAGTCCCTGGATAAAAATCACGCTTGGCGTTTCTAGCGTTTCTTACAAGAACCGACATCCACTATTGGCGAGCGCGTGAGAGCGGCGTACCACGATCGAGAGCCGCAACACACTTTCCTCTCAGAGGTCGCTCCATAGCCGCGCATTTTAAAGCCCTTTCATGTATTAAAAGCAGCGCAAGGTGCGTCGATGCACGAGGAACGTGCGGTAAGGAGTGATTATGACATGACATCGTCATGTCACACCATGACGTCACGTGAAACTGTGACGTTAGGTGAAAACGTAATGTCACGTGAGACTGTGAAGTAAGGAGACATCATGACGTCACGTCACTCCGCGCTGACGGCTTTATGTAGTCACAAAACTCGCAATGTACCCTTCAGTTGCCTCCTTGTACTGTTCCCTCAAGGGTCTCTTCGCATTCCCAAGGAGCCCGAAGAGAGAAAAATTGGGGTTGTGGGGATATTTACACAGCGTGTAGCTGGTCAGCCATTAAAGTTGCGACGAGTCACACGCTGTAGATGAGCAATTTAGCCAGTGCAGTACAACCCCTAGCCTGGGGTCTTTAACGTGCAGCACGCAGTAGTGATACACGACCGCACGCCGGTACGATGCTCATCCAGATCGAAACGGGCAGGGGTGGGGCTGGAACCCAGGATCCCTGGGTTCTGCAGCGCGAGCTTTCGCTCCACGCGAGTCGAGCTGGGTGTGCGCTTCAGCCCACTCAGCCACCGATCCCCCTTTTTTTTTTTTTTTTCTTTAATACATGGAAAATCACAATTTAAAGTTCGAATTGTATATACACACAGTGAATGTTATATACATGAGGATGGAGGTGGTGGATGGATGCTCTCCTGGTGATCAGTCCTTGCTGAACATAATGACTGTACTTGCACTCGTGTCGCACTCATGTCTTCACTCTGGGCACTATACACTTTTGCGGAAACGGAGAGTACAAATTATTCATGGCATACACTTAAACAAATTCCTAAGGCAAGCACATTTCAAATGTGTTGTGTATGAAAGACATGTAATTTGATTATGTACGGATGTTGGCTGCTTTCACTATATTAAAAATCAGGAAGTCCTAGACAAGCATCAAACAGAGGAAACCAGTCGGGCACTGGTGGGTGGGCCTCATAAACACTTCTAACTTTTGCAATTTCTTCCAGAAATATGGATTTAGTTGTGCGTGGAATGTCAGCATTTCTGTCGATCATCCGGCATCTCCAGAGACTGTGTAAACCAATCAGCATAAATAAATCATAAGGGATATTTGTTTCAGTCGGGACGTATAAGTAACGAATACTGTGATCAGTTAAGTCAATATCTTTTCTTAGGGTTCTTTGGAGCACATCCCAGAAGAAAATCGCGTCTGTACAGTAAATAAAACAGTGCTCTATTGTTTCCGGCTGGTGGCATAAACGACAGTCAATTGACCAAGGCACAAAGAAACCGCGGCTCTGGAGCCACCATTTGACTGGAAGCGTTGACGTGTGTAGTTTAAACATGAACGTTTCAGTACTTGGAGATACAGACATACGCTTTACACGTTTTAGAACGTCCTGTCCTTCACAGTTACCGAACTTAGATCTGTATAACGGAGCGGGAAAAAAACTTTCGATCAACGCTTGTGCTAACCGCTTTCTGGGTACTTCAAAAATATAGTCTAATGAAAAACGGACTTTTAAAAACAAGAAGGTATCGACTACCTCTTTCCAGAAACCCCAGAGGCCGCTTGGAGCAGAGCTTGTAGTAGAGACGGTAAGAAAGGGTAAATGGTGAACCAGTTTTCTTTGAACAGCCATGAGAAGAAACGGGTGGGATAAATTCCTAAAGAAAAACAATCTTGAGACCAGCTGGCGCACAAATAAATGCGCCAGGCCCAGGCCTCCCGAGTCCAAAGGCAAGAATAAATTATCGCGTTTCATGCGTTCCCAAGGAGAACTCCAGATAAATGTAGCGAAAATTCGGTGAAAAGCTTGAATTTTAGAGCGATTACAATGCAGTACTTGCAAAACATACATAAGTTTGGATATTAAGAAGGTGTTACAGACGGCTGCTTTAGCGAAAATTGACATTTCTCGTGCCCTCCATGCCTGCGATTTACGTCTAATTATAGTTACGGCGGTGCTCCAATATGGATCAGTGGAACGAGTTTGGTCAAGAGGAACACCAAGGTATTTGAAAGGACAGCGATTCCATGAAATCCCACCAAAGCATTTTGGAGTGGTTGCCCACGCTCCTATCCAAAAACCGTTTGATTTTTCTGCATTCAACTTTGCTCCAGTTAGGTTGCAATATTTCTCTGTTACCTGAAGTGCTTCTTCAACACTAGCCTTATTTGAACAAAATAACGCTACATCATCGGCGTAGGCTAGTAGCTTCACCTCTGCGGAGCAAAGTTGATAGCCACGAATTGTATCTTTGTTGATAATACTACGGCATAAAGGTTCAAGATATATGGCAAAGAGCAGTGGTGAAAGTGGACAACCTTGTCTTACCGAGGATTTTATAAGTATAGGTTCAGAAAGTGAGTTATTTACAATTAGTCTTGTGGTGCTGTTCTTGTAACATAGCTGAATGCCCTTTATTATTGTGGTCCCTATGTTTGCGTGAGAAAGTAGCCTGAATAAAAAGGAGTGGCTAACTCTATCAAATGCTTTGGATAAGTCTAGTTGGACTATGGCTACTTTATTTTGTTCGTCGGATATTGAATCTATTACGGACCTTGCAACATGTATGTTCGTTTGAATATTTCTTTCACGTATACCGCAAGTTTGATGAGTTCCGATTAGATTGTCTATTATGAGATGTAAACGTTCATTTAAAACTTTTGCGAAGATCTTATAGTCTACATTGCAAAGTGATATAGGCCTGTAAGCCTCCATCTTTTTCAAAGCTAACGAGTCTTCTGTTTTGGGTATAAGCACTGTATGTCCTTCGTAAAAGGTTGGCGGTAGTGTTTGGTGCTCATATGCGGCTTTGAATACATCAAGGAGGAATGGACTCAGCAGGCATGAGAATTTCTTATAGAACTCAGCGCCCAGGCCGTCCGGGCCTGGAGTCTTATCTGACGGTAGGGCTTTTATCGCAGCTTGTGTTTCTTCCAAGGTCAGAGAGCCTTCAACACTCTCTTTCTCTTTGTCTGTTAAAGATGGCACACATTCTATAAGTTTTTGTATCTCTTCGCTCTCTTTGGTCTCAATACTCTTTCCGAAAAGATAAGTGTAATGGTCTTGGAAAGCTTCTATAATGCTTTGCGTTTCAGTGTGGGCGCTGCCTTTGTGGTCTATTTCGAGTATTTCTTTGCTTAGAGCATATCTCCTTTCATCATCAAAGGACCGGCGTCCAGGCGTCTCTCCGAGCAAATATTTTTGCGAGCGCGATCGGATCACCGCGCCTCGATATTTTTCGGTATCGTATCTTTGTAGTTGTGTCTTTGCCATGTTAATCTCCTCAGTATATTCGCCGGGATTGAGGCTTTCAAGCTCATAAAGCTCTGATAGCATCGCGAACAGGTTTCGTAGCTCTAGCTTTTTCATAAAGGTAATGGAGCTTGAGCGTTCAATTGCCCAATTTTTAACTTCTTGCTTGAACATGTCCCATTTGCAAAACACGTGTAGGGAAGCGTCCTGTTTGACACAGGAAAGGATAGCGGGTATAGCATCGGTGAATATTTTGTCGTTTAAAAGTGATGTGTTTAATTTCCACAAGCTCCATTCACGTCTTAGTGGGGGTTGCTTCTTTGTCCCAAAAGTTGCAGATACAAGGCAGTGGTCTGAGAAAAATATAGGTTTCACTGAGTAATCAGAAATATTGTCATAAAGGTCTCCAGTGACATATATCCGGTCGAGTCGAGCGTGAGAGGAGCGTTGGAAATGTGTATAGTGCACTCTGCCTCGTTTTTGTTTTCCGATGTCTACTAAGTTGTTATCGCTCACAAGAGATTGGAGTATACAGCTGCACTAGGGTCGAATCTAGTCGTTAGTTGGGAGCGATCGTTTAGATGTAGCACACAGTTGAAGTCTCCCAATAGCAACAGTTTTCTATCCGTGTCAATGTATGGTGTTAGAAAAGAAAAAAAATGTTTGCGCGCTGTCACATCATTTGAAGCGTAAACGCAAATAATGCGCAATTGAATGTTTACAAGGTCTAGATCGCAATATATAATGCGCCCTTCCTAGTCGGTAGTGAGAGAAGCAGCAGTTAAACCCAACCCCTTCTTTAGAAACAAAAAAACATCCAGCCGATGTGCCAGATGCATGAGTGACACACACTTCGAAATCTTTCAGGAAGGGCTCCAATGCGATCTCGGTTTGTTCCTGGCTGCACATTTTCGTTTCCTGCACAGCTAATATATCGATCTTCTGCTGGACTATTAGTTGTAGAAGTTGACACTGCTTCCGTTTAGAACTGAGACCTCTCACATTTAAGGTGGACACGCGAAGTTGGAGGGTGCTGGACATGCGATCATTTATGGTCGGGCGTTATCGCCCGTTTGCTTGTCTTCAACAAGCTTGGCGCCAGGGAGCGTCTTTGAATACGGCTTATGTCGAACAGCGCCCAGTCTCTTTTCATAGTGCTTTGCTCTAGTTATAAGGCCGTCTTTTAATCCCGCGTTGGTAAGCGCTTCTAGTTCAAGAATTGGGTCCTGTACTTCATCGTTTTCCTCCGTTTCGGTGTCTTCCAGGTTAGCTTCGGTGGTTGTTTCGCACTGTTTTTCGTTCGTGAAGGCGTCCCTATTTGTTGGAGTCGCGGGGTTTGTCGGGGTGCTGTTTTCGGTTGCAGGCGAAACGGTGATTATTGGGTCTTCGCTAGAGGTGGTGGTCGACGTGAGGTTCTCTGGCACAACCGGTTTTCTGGAGGCCGATTGAGACCCACCGTCCAGGGCTGCTGCCATTGCAGAGACGTCGCCATTAGGGTCAACAACTTCGCTTACATCCATGAGGTTCTCTGTTGTTGATTCTTCAGTTGTCCCCAACCTCAGCCTGTCAGCGTAGGTCATGACGCAGTCCTCCGGTTTATGCCCGTACCGTCGGCATTTCGCACACCAGGGAGTCCGGCAATGGCGGCGGATGTGGCCCACTCGATGGCATCGTAGGCACAAAGGAGGCCGACCTGAGATAAGAAGCAAGCTCTGGCACCCGAAGATGGTCATCAGGTGTGGAATCTTGTTCACGTTAGTGTCGTCTCGAAGGGTCAGTTGTACTTCACGGTTGAGGGTTTCCATGTCCTCCATTCCTTCACATCTCCACTTTTCTCGCACTACGGAGCGTACTGTGCCGTAGGGTTCCATCGCTTCAACGATTCTTCGGTTTTCCATATAAGGTGGTAACCAAAGCAGTCTGATCTTCACCTCCTTCGTCTCTGGATCAACAACGAGACATTTCCGTCCTTTCACCTTCACATGCGACGAGCTTTGCTTTTGCAAGCGAAGTCGCACACTGGACCATCCACACATGAGACATTTGGTACTGTCCCATGGCGATTATATCCTTTAGATCAATGATGCCCTTGAGGGCATCTCTGAAGTCCGGAGCTCGGTATGGTCTGGCAGCGAGATCCCCATGAAGGAAGACAGAATTTAGAACGAGGTTACCTGTGGGCAGACGTGGCATCAGAACACGGTAGTTGTCCATTGCAGTAATGGTAGCATCTGAATCTGTAGCCTGAATTCCTCGGCCAGAGGCCGATTGGTTTTCTTGAACGGAGAACATGAAAACGCAGCCTTTCGCTACGGCGTCTTCTTCTTTCTCCGGCCACCGATCCCCCCCGCCCGAAGAGACCCTATATAAATGCTATGCATTTAGAACGTTTTTTAAAAAATGCAAAAGCCATACATCCTTTTTTTTTTTTTTTTTTTGCGCAGCTTTAAACGGTGTACTTGTTGGGCATTTAAAATTATTGCTTTGTAAAACTAATTATAACAAAAAAAAATCATCGTCGGTAATAGGCTTTTGCATGCCGGCTTGCTTTTTTATTGCCGTCGCCCCATAGGGTATTGCAGTTATCCGAGCATTCACCGATCGAACGTATTTTAAACTCGCGCGGAACGCTGCCAGTCCAACGCCTCATAAGCGAGGCCCTGGTGACTGTTGCATCAGTCTCCAATCCATCGTCGCAGACGTTGCCCGTCACACTTTGCGCTCTGTCTCGGATGTCGCGACACGGCGACTGAAATAGTTGCCGCGGGAGAGAGATGACGCGAATACCGGAGACATCTGTCGTCGCCTTCGTCCCGCCGCCACCGCGAGCAACTTATTCTTGGGGGTCTCGCGTCCCTCCCGGCTTCTCTTTGTGTGGAGACCGCGGGCCTGGAACCAAAGGCCGTTGTTTCCGAGGATTGGGAGAAAGGGGGTGAAGAGCACTCGGACGTTAGTGGAGGTGTCGCCGAAATGTGTCGAACTTTGAGTTCGACCATGGTTCGACTTTTTCGAACATCGCACGCAAAGTTCTTCATTTAATCTCTTTTTTCTTTTAAATTACTGTTCGTTTTATTATCAATATTTAATATTTAAACGTACTGGAGACCCAAGCAGGAGGGAGGGAACACGCCCTCTTGAATCCAGCAAAACATTCACTTAAAGACAGTACTCAAAATGCGTAGTGCTCTCAAGAAGCCCAATAAAAAAGATAATGTGGACACCAGCGCGCAACTATTATGTCCATGCAGGTAAGTTAAAACTAGTTTGCGCCGCCTGGTGGAGGAGGGCGCGACATTTCAACGAGCTAACTGCATAATTAAACGTTTAGCGTTTACTTTTATATAATGTAAATGTTACTATTATTATTATTATTATTATTATTTTATAAATAGAAACTTGGGTGTTGAGAAATAACGTTTCACGAGCCATGAGGTATCTCGCGATGGTATATGCCGTTTCCGAAGTCGAACTTGGTCGAATTTTTCCAAAACGTTTGAACGCTCGCGGGACCGGTCGAACTGCGAGATTCGAACGTCGAATTTCAGGTTGGAGCGGGTCTACAAGCGACGACGTCTCGCGCAGCTTTCTCGGGGTCGCCGTGTCGGGGGAAACAACCGGAGCGGCGCTATTTTGGGACCCCGTGGCCGAGACACTGTAATCAAAGACAAACGGGAGGACGCTGCACTCCAAGCTCTTGAACTGTAGCGCCTTCCCACGCCTCCTTCCGGCCGAATTTAGGGGGCGCCTGTTATCGGGCCGCGTGGGGGAGACCAGTGCGTCTTGCAAGCGTGTCGGAGGTCTTCACAAAGTATCGGTCCTTATCTGAACAGAGCTCATAGTCTATGACAAGTCGGGAGGAG